GGCATTTGCGTGCATCGATCTCTAAGGGCAACATTACAGCTTTCAGCAGACGTTCAACCTGTGTGGAATTAAGAATTGGTTTACCATCAGATCACAGAATATGTTAACAGTTTTGCCCGCTGCCAGCTCACAAGCCCCGGTGGGCGCGACCAGTTCAGCGGTTTGTGCTGAATGGTAGTGGGGCAAACTACCAGAGTCTATAGTATCAAAATCAGAACACACAGCATAGCCGACTCGGTTCTTCCCAGTGTTGTCACGTGACGCGGCTCCGTCTGTATAAAAAAATCAAGTCAGGATTAGTCAGAGGCACCTCTTTCAGGTCTGGCCTGGGAGTGCATATCTGTTCTATTGTGGCGATACAGCAGTGTGCCTCCCCTTCCTCTGGCGTGGGCAGCAGTGAGGAGGGGTTCAGCTGTGTGCATCTTTTCACCGTGACATTGGGGAGTTCAAAGAGCACCGTGTTGTATTTCAGCCAACGAGCCGCAGAAAGGTGAGAGGTTTTCTGCTCTAGCAGGATCAGGGAAACAGCATGGGGCACAAGCAAAGTTAGTTCAGTGTATCCCACAAGGTCACGTGATGCTAGGGCCGCTTTCTCAGCGGCAGCCACAGCCCGCAGGCAGCGAGGCAACCCTGCTGCCACGGGATCGAGTTTTGCTGAGAAGTAAGCAGTGGGTCTCAGTGGCCCTCCGTGAGACTGCAAAAGTACCGACACCATGCACCCACATCGCTCATCCACGGTCTGAGTGAATGGCCGTTGGGTCAGGGAGACCTAGTGTGTGTGTGTAGATTTGCTGTTCCGTTCATCTCCAGTTGCTTTTCTCCCGGATCGTCCTCAATTCATATTGTGGGCTTTTGTGCCAAAGTGGAGGCTCATTTCCTCCTGATCCACACTACTGTCATCCCTGGAGCAGGGGTAGTTTATCTCTCATCTGAAAAAGAAATATCAGAACACAAAAAAACACAAAAAAAATGCCCACTTTCGCTTGTCAATCTTTTTCCCAATTGGGCAAAACATAACTGCATTGACAGACGGTGTGTGGCATCAGGGCGGAGGCTGTAGCCAGATACAGAACAACAAAATGTATGTTTCTAATTTTATACTCCCCTAAATGTGAGTTTACCAACCAAAGTTGTCCTTCAACCAAGGACAGCTCACTGCGGTTGGACCGAATCACTGTCAGGGCAAACAGCAGAGGGAGGAACTCCCAATATCTTCAGCAAGGTATTTCATCTCCGAGTACTTTCCGCAGAGTACTTTTCTCAGAGTACTCATCCCAGAGTACTCTCACTTTTACACCTGTTCAATAAAGGTCGTTATCTTTGAATCTCTAGTACTCACACCGTATGCTGTTGACAAAAAAATAATTATTCCATGATCACATTAAAACATTACAGACACATTTGTTATTCCATGATTCCGTTCAGCATTCCTCATTTCACACATCACACTCACATCACAGGCCGATTCCCCACGTTAGTATTGGTCCAGAGTTTGTTAAGGTCAACGTAGTGTACTTTGACATGACACACAAACATATAACATACACAAAACATATAACACACACCAACATATAACACACACAAACATATAACAACACAGAAGGCCTGTAATTTTAACTTTGTTATATTTTTCCATGTCCAATTCCAATTGTCTCATGAGCTATTTCTATTGTTGCAACTTTCAGAGCCTGCAGAGCTTTAAAAGAGTTTTCCTAAAAGGATCCATTTCCAACTTTAGTGTTTACCACGTGGTCTGTATTTCGGGCTTATCACAGATTGTGTCCCCTATATCTCTAATGAGCTCTTGTCACCTTAAAAATGTTTATTTTCCTTATTTTTTTCTTTTTCAATAAAGCCAGGTTGGATTCATTAAAAATGTAAATTAGTCTCAAACTTTAATACTTCACCTTTGTTTCACGATAAAAATGTTTTTGTTGCTCATTAAGTAGCACAGATAGTGGTGCCTATCTCAATAAACGTACTCCGTTAGCCTATCTTCACTACACTGCATGAATTTTCAAACTCCAAGTTATTGTCTGGGAACGACCGGAGAGAGCAGCTTAGGTCGTTCGCGTGGTTGACCTCCAAATTTTGTGCGGGCGTCACTCTATCCACTTGTTGTGGCTAATAACTTAGCAATCTCAGGGTTTGGTGTCAATTTCCAGTGGTAGTTAACTTTTGGGACCGGTGCCTCCTTTTATTTATCTATTTTTAATTGAGTCTGCACATAAGGTCTCGGCCTAGTAGATTAACCGGGCACAATGGGGAATATAGAAAAGAATGTTTAAGCTGGTTGCCCTGAGAATCAAAACACGTTAGCGGTGACGTAAATTGCTCTTTAGTCGTCTCTCCGACGCTGCTAATTAGAATATGAAGCGGCCACTCATTTTAGGGGAGACAGAAAGGCTGTCACTTTTAGCACAGAATTTGTTGCCCCGGAGTCATCCAGAATTTTAACTTGTACACCACAGATTGTTAGCGTATATTACGGGCATGAATTATCTCTAAAAAGTGCCAATTGCAATTTGTTGTTGTTCAACTTACATGAGCGGTCGCTTTGGTGACGAATGTGAACCCAGGTTTGGTCAGTCGCTCGTGTTTCCTCCACGCCCGCCTCTGCCGTCCTCTGGCCCCGTGTGAGCTTGAGCGTTCCTCTGCCTTTAACGCCTCCTCCGGTAACAGTCCTTCGACCCATGTCGAGCACACAGTCTTTCCGCCGGGCTGTGGAAGTTTCTCAAAGTCCGCAGGAGGCCCAGGTAGCCCAAAGCGTTAGCCTGTGGTCCATGAGGGTTGGTGAATAACCAAACGTGCCGGTACTTTTGGCTTCTTCTGTTTGCGGTGCGGGGGCAACTTTCAACGAGGTTTCAGCGGGTGCGTTTTGTGTTTCACGCTACCCCCTCCGTGGGGAACAGTCACGGGATTTGGAGCAGTTTGTCTCTGGCCTCCAAGGCAGTTGTCGGTGTCTCACATATTTGCTTCCCCCGCTTCTTTTCTGCGGTTTCCTGAGCGTGTATCTGCTTCCGCCACGTCTTCTTCTGCTCCCGGGTTTGGGCCCACTTCTCGCGGGGTCTCAGCTGGTGCGAGCGCCGCCTGTGGTTGAGGCGTGGGGCTGGTGCTGGGGCTTTGAGGCAGAGGACAGAGCGCGGAGGAAAAGCGCCGACAGACCTGGACAGGGAGAGGAAAAAGGGACAACAGTAGTCTGCTCATTTTTTTTAAAAACCCAACGCCTTGTTTGGGTGCACACTTATTGTTAGTAGGGGAAAAAGGGCGGTAGGGTGGGGGGGTGTGGGGGATGTGTGTGTGTGTGTTCCGCCTGTGTGTTCTCCGCTTCGGTGAAAAGCGGAGGAGCTATTGTTTTTACATATTTCTTTCTCTAACGTCTTTTGCCGTGATATTCTTAAAACCAAGTATATTTTTTCTTCCCTTCTTCTTCTAAATTATCACACGCAAGATGCGTAGTTGATTCGGAGACATAGAGCCTCCATAGCTTTAGGTCCGAACCGTTTTTCCATTGTCATTGTAACGGGGGACGTTAACCTTCCCCTCGGTGTGGCATCTCTAGATTGATTTTCCCATTTTCTCGTACAGAACAATGGGCCTAACCCGCTTAGTCTCTCCCTGCTCTTACCCACTTTGGGGCGCTCCGTTCCCCCCCCCGCTGGTTCAACCAGCGAGCGCGCGTTCTTGAAAACGGAGCGGTTCTGGCTGAAGACACTCAGAGATTCCAGGGTCGCTTACAGAGCGATACTAACGCGCAGCCGCTAGCTTCAATCTAGAACAAAAGCCCCCAAAAAAATCCCGCACACAGACTATGCTGTGGCAATGAATGAAATACCCCAAAAATACATAAATAAACAAATCCCCGTGTACACTTAAGTGCTCGTTACGCAGATGAAAAGACAAAACTCACCAAGTTAGGTTCTTTTTGGTCTTGTGTGGCAAAAGATTGCTTCCATGCGCGGGACGAGCGCGCCCTCCTTTGTCTCCAAATAGAGAAGAGGCTGGTGTTGTTTCCAGGTCGGCCAAACGCGGCCGCTCGTCCCCGCCGAAAGTATCCATGCCAAGACATGCCAGCAACGCCAAATTGTTATAGAATTACATACCCCAAAACAAGGAGAAAGCCCAAAAGTATTTGTCTTACATCAGGAGCGTAAGTTTATTATACACACGTGCGGAGAGCCAGCACATACACACAAAGGCAGCATGTACCAGCTCTGGGCGCAGAGCCCCGAGTTTCCTGTATACAAGACACACACGAAAGCCAGTCCCGCCCACAACAGATGGGAGGGGGCCACCGGTGCAGGAGGCGCATAGGGATGCAAACAGACTGCAGGATGTAGAAAGTGCACACATACAGACCGATACATATGCAAGAGGTGAAAGGGGGCAAGAGTGATCGCCATTGTCTGTAGGTGTCGGGGGGGACCCGGCTCCTTCCTGGAGCAGGGACATATGAATAGAAGCAGGAAAGACACAAGGGTGTGACAGACAGCAGGGGCCCTCACAAAGCTCAGCATGGCGTCAGAAGGTCGTCTCTGTATTGATAAAAGGCCTCTGACGTCCGTGTATTTGCTGCGGCTGGTTTTATGTAATTACTCCAAAAACTGTCACCACAGTACGGATGGCTAAGGCTAGGCTAGGGTCGTTTCTCTTCAGCCAGAGCCACTGGCTGCTTCGTTCTGCTGCCTCTGATGCGGCTTTGACGGCTGCACACTGACTCTGGCCACTGACTCCCATGTCTCTCAGCAGTTTTGCGGTAAATGTTCCCACAAATCCTCTGCACCCAACTTCCACCGGGCGGACTTCTGCATTCCAACCACGGAGCCGAGCTTCGGCGTCTAGCTCGGAATACCGTAGATGTTTTTGGTCATAGGCCTCGTTCATGGAACTCTCCCAGGGTACTGTGGGCTGCACTATATACACCTTCTTGACGAAAGGGGACCAGAGCACCAAGTCCGGGCCTCAAAGTGGTGGCAATCTCTGAGGGGAAAACTAGTTGTTTACCAATGTCTACCAGCATCTTCCAGTCGCGTGGTAGGCCCAGCTGGCTCCTCTCTGATGGTGTTGAGCTTCCCAGGTAGTTGGGTAGTGTCAATCACCTGTAGGCCTGCCTTGATGCACAGCTGCTTCACCTGGTCTTTGTCGTTTAGGCTTGCATCATAGCGCCTTCCTAGGCTTTTGACGGGTTGCTCCAACACTGTGGGGAAAGGGTTGTCTCCGATGAAGAACTGCAGGTCTGTATGCACTCCCTTCAATACTGAAATGCTGCGTGACTTGGATGGTTTGATCTTCATACAACCCAACTGATGTTTTCTTCGAGCTTTTTGAGAAGCCTCTTTGTGCAAGGGACAGAGATGGTCAGGGTGGTGATGTCATCCATGAAGGCTCTTAGGGGAGGGAGGCGCCTGCAAGAGCTGAGTTTTAGAACAAATTCATTTAAATAATTTAAATGACATATCAGTTCAGAACTATTCACAGTTGAGTCAAAAAAGAAGTGTGCGTGCGTGCATGTGTGTGTTTAAAGTAAGTGGTTCTGGTTTTGAAATAATGTGCAGCACATCTGATTCATTTTAGAACAAGATGTCGGGTGGATGATTCCAGATGAATTTATTCTTTCCTCCAAGTTGCTGGATGCAACTGACCTCAATTTCCTCATTCACCACTTTGGTCACTTGGCCAACAAATGGTTTTGTGTCATATCGTACAATGACAAACTTTCCTCCAAGATCTGTTTGCTCAACAGACGATGTTGGTTGTTGAGATCCTGGTTGTTGGCGAAAGTCAACTACAGTTGGATTGTGGCAATTGCACAGAGCAGGTCTCTCACAAAAACAAGAAATATCTTTCCATTTGTTGACCGCTGGCTGCTCACAAACCGCGTGAAGTATTTTGAGTGTACCTCCAATGGTGCTTTCAGACCAGCCACGCTGAAACGCACATTCTGTAGTTTTCAGATGCAGGGGTCTTCAGACCAGAGGTCCTGGCGCGCACCGGAAGTGCCGGAAGTAGCCGGTGGGCTCTGATTCTAACAGAGTTTAGCTAGCAGCTTCTTGTGTACAGATCTTCTCCAATAATGCAGCTTTGCAGCATATCTGTGTTTAGAGACCTTCCACGGACTTTACAGTATATACTACTGCAGTAGAATGAAATACAAGAACTTAGCACATCAAACTTTGTAATTATCGTACAATAAAGTTTATGCATATTTGTTGTTATGTACAAACACCAATTTGTGTAGAGAACTGTTTTATTTATGTAATATATTATAGCCACCATTTGGCATGAAACTCATTTCAGTATTGGGTCACAATGCAATTATTTTGTATGTACTTTAGGAGTTTGTATGGCATTACAAATCTATTTTTTAATGTATAGTCCTGTCCTTGTGCTCATCAAATGATGAAGGCAATGTTGAAGCTGTGGTTGGGAATCATTCGCTTTATGACACATCAATCCAATGTTTTTTGCAGATAATTAATGCATATTTCCATATGCTTAACCAAAAACACCAAGCAGGCTTTTACCATCTCAATGCTGTGGTTGCTTCAGCCCTTTTCATGCATGGAAGAAATCAATTTGTTGCTAAAGTAATATTTTTATCAATATAATAATCAGGCTGCATAAACAAAGTCTCATTAACAAATCAATTCCTATTCAGATGAAGTTTCCTGCAGAGGATCAGTGGCTGTGTCCAGTCAACGTTGGGGGCCACTGGTTTCTGGTTGTGGTCAGAATGGACAGGAAGACCCTGGTGGTAGTTGATCCTCTCTCAAACGAGCGTCGACATAAGAATACATTTGTCACAAACTGGAGATTTTTTTATTAAGAAAAAATAACAATATTGAAATGTATTCTTGCACTAATCCCAACCATCATGTTTTATTTAACTAGGGAATTACTTGGAAGGAGGGACAGGGACTGTCAGGAATGGGCAGTTGAGTTGATGGAGCACAAACGCAACAGGACTTCTCCAGCTGTGGTGTTCTAGTTTTAATGGTAACTGTTTTTAATTTAATTTAATTTTATGTCTTACAATGAATATGTGTGAGTTACATTTGTTTGTCAAGTTTCCAGAAGCATATCTGCTCCGAGGGAGTATTGAGGATGTTGGCACAGGCCATACAGACATTTGCACTGCCCATGGCAGGAGCATGCTCCTTGGTCCGTGTACTTTTGCGTTCAATGCATTTTCTATTTTTGAGCGGGAAATGGAAAATCGAAAAAAGACTATTTTGCACTTTCAGGCACATGGCAACATACAAAAATGACCATTTTGGTTTTTTTTCATTGCTTATAAGACATGTATATTATAATAACTGGATTTGGGAACTGGAAAATGCAATAATTAACCTTTTTTATTATGTATTTTATACATTTCGGCGTCAATCGATTACCCAGAAGTGAAACAAGTTTGTTTACTTCCATGTGTGAAACCGCGAATTAGCCAAGCTGAGATGATGGCGTTGCTGGAGGGATATAAGAACATTATTTGCGATTTATTAAAAAAGCATGCAACGCACAAACACATCGCACACTATCTGTGTCGGTTAGGTGTCCAAAGAGGATGTTCTGCGATGAGCATAAGAAGATTTTGTCATCTGCATAAACTCAAGCGGGGGTCACAGATGCACAGTTGGAAATATCTGTGTCGTCAACAATTTCCGAGGTAAGTTCTGCTGTATTACAACCTTATTACAAAACAGTATCGACTTAAACGTGAAGGAATGTCGATAATCATTAATCAATTAAATGCATATTTTATTCAGACCGGCCCATCCTTTAGCCGAAAGTTTATGACCGTTTATTTAGCGTCCCTGGGATTGTTTGCTTCTGAAAGTCGAGTTGGACGAATTCTGCGGGAATTGCAAAGGCCAAACCACAAAATGAGATGCAAGGTAGGACTATAAATGAATGTATTCTATCTTTATTTGTATGTACAGATGCATGATGGTACATGATTGAGCACTCAGAAATAGGGCTTACTTTTGAGACAACCACTGTTGGGATTTAGAGCGATATAAAAATAAATTGATTTGACTTAAATAAAAGTGATTTTACAAACTCAATTAAGAGAAACTGTATAATCATACAGACCAGAATGATTAATGCATTGCCTCCAACATCTAAAGCTTATTCTTTTGTCTGTTCAGACGGTGTGATAGTAAGACATAATTTGGATCTCTTCTAGTACACTGAAAAAACTAATATGTGTGTTTCATTTGATGTTTTTTTTATCCTAATAGCCTAAAAATATTAAATTGTTAAGCAAAAATACATTTTGTAAATATGATGTCCCCTTCAATCTATTTTTGTAGATTGATACAATAGAAAAGTATAATTTAACAATGAGATTAAAATTATACATTAGACCAAATTACTTTTATAAATCAAGCACAATTCGCGCATGCGCACACATGAATACAGAGAGAAACTTCTGGAAGTCGGCAGAACTTGAGAGGACTAAACTGGAGGACACTTTTGTCAGGTAAGGGAGGAATTCACCAAAATTGCACATCTTCGTTGTCCTTGTCCTTTATTTGAACTTACACTATAATTTTAAGGTGACTAGTTACATTTTTATAAGGTGATTGCGAAATGATAGCCAGGTTCATCACAATTTCATATTGGACTGGGAAGAATTTGGCCTAATTGATTGATTTAATTGTTAAGATTCAGATTAATTTATTTGCCATTTGCAGTCAAACTACATTGGCATACATCTGTAAAAGCCCCCAGTGTGGATAAAAAAACAAGGTTAAAAGTATAGAAATAAAACAGTAAACTATTGACACTGTGAAATTGATCAATCTAAAACAGTTTTAATACGAGTGCAAGATCATGAAAGTGCTATATTAAAATTGATAACAGCTTGTGGAAAGAAGCTGTTAGCGTGTCCTGCATCTCAGCAAACAATATCTTCTGCCAGAGTTATGAAAGCTTTTCCAGGGTGGACAGAAAATTGAATATTTTAAGAGCTCTGTTTAAAGGTCTGGATTTATAGAGAACCTCCAGAACAGGGCGCTCACAGTCCTCTTTGCAGAGAGGAGCACCTTGTTTAGCGCTCTCCTTTCTTTGTCTGTGATGTTACCAAACCACACAGTCACAGAAGCGACAAGCAAACTCTCAATGGTCCAGCTTATGTGCTGGGAATTGTGACATTTTACTACCACACACTAAAATATTTGCAATTTGAGTTATGCTTCAATCCGGTAACTAAAGATGCGTTTTCCATTATGTGTCCTCTTTTCTCAGTTCTCGGATCATGTGGAAATGCAAAGACTGTGGGGAATGTTTTTCAAGAAGAAATGAAGTGCTAAAGCACATCAGACTTCACCATCGTTATGGTCGGGGGCATGCCTACCCCTGTATTTTTGAGCATTGCCCGTGTAGATGTAAGACGCTGAGGGCTGTCCATGCCCATCTGAGCAAGTTCCATCCAGCAGAACAGTCCCAAAGTAGTTTTTCAGTCTTTAAATGTCATCTCTGCAACAACCGTCAACTTGCATCTGAAACGGAGTATTTTCAACACATTGGGAAGCATTTGAGAAACCACGAACTGGTCACTTGTATGTTCAATGGTTGCTTTTATCAGACAAATCTATATGGAGCTACGGGATATGGAATTACTGTCCTCCTATACCAAATGATGAGACTCGAGAGAGCATGGAACAGGAAAGAGTATGTCTTTTGTCAGAAATGCAAATCAGAAATAACAGGCAAACTGTGAAGGAGAAGATGGCGAAGACGTTCGGGTACCGGAGACAAGAAATTGTGCATGACCAGCCAAGAATTTCAGTCGTTGTAGAGAGATGGCCAGCACTCTTTCAAATAGAAGAGGTCAGTTTTGGTGCAAAACTATGTTAATTCTCCCTTTTGTATTCAAAACAGATTTTCTGTGTAATATAATTACAGCTTTGGCACTATTTCCAATAGCCAACGTTAATCCCAAACTCTTTGTATGTTCTGCTCATTTTTTAGATCAGTGCAGAGTTTATGAGGATCACTACAGTGCCCTTGGAGACCAAATTCATACAGGCGTTGGACAGGCATTCCACAAAGACAGTGCAGATCATACGGAACAAGGGTGGCGTAATAAAAGAAAGGACTGGCAGTATCCTGCAGACTTTAGATAAGGTATGTACAATTACTGCAGAGTTAGACCGAGTCAAACATGTAAGGGATATTGGACACAGTGAGGCCCTGTCCACACGAAGTCAAGCTCAGGCCTAAACGCAAAAATACTTCATCAATCCAGTGTATCGTCCATACGAGGCCGGCGTTTTGGGGGGGTGTAAACGAACATTTTTGAAACTAGGTCCCAGAGTGGAAAGATTTCAAAACTCTGTATATGCCGCTCTCCGCAATGTATCTGAGACGCTTGCGTCATCGCCCCGCCTCTTGTTAAAGCACGCATGCGCCGCACTCAGAAAATAATGACAACAACAATGTAGCTTGTTGGTTTTGTAATCCAGTGCGACCCGAAGCAACAGTTCAACCTCATCGTCCGTCCATACTAATGTAGTACCAGCTCGCCCACTCGCCATGTTGTCTGTTTACAAAATTCTGCGCATGCCCAGTTCCCGTCACGGAAGTTTGGGCTTGATCCCGTCATTGCGTCACAGCGCCACCAACAGGTCTGGCATAGTTTCACAGCGTTTTCAGGCGTATTGACTACATTCATATGGACGCACACATTTACTGAGCTAACTCCGTGTTTACAGAAAAAGTTTCTGAAATTATAAGCGTTTTGTCTTCGTGTGGATATAGCCTGAGTCTATCCTATTTATTCACCCAGTGTTTCAATGTACTTTTTGTCTGGTAAATAAGAACATGTAATTTCATGAATGCATTTGGTTCAGGGTGTGGACGTCAATACAAGGAGGGAATCGGTTCTGAAATGTTTGGTCCTCTACTTTGGTGAATCTGTTCACCACCTCATCAAAGAAATCCAGGTACATGCATTGCTCAGCCATCCATGCACAAACACATACTTAGTACCAGGCCTGAACTGTTCATCGGACGTACCCATTTTTTTGCCGGTCTGCCTGCTGCATACAAAAAATGAAAAGATAATTTTCTCTCTGGCCTCTTTCTGGTCCCTCTCTAGTCTCTCTGCTCTCTGGTCCCCTCCAGGTCTCTCTGGTCCCTCTCTCTGGTTCCTCTCTCTAGTCTCTCTGCTCTATGGTCCCCTTCTGGTCTCTCTCTGGTCTTTCTGGTTTTTCTCTTTGGTCTCTCTCCCTGCTCTCTCTCTCTAGTCTGTGGTCTCTCTCTCTGGTCTATCTCTAGTCTCTGCTCTCTCTCACTCTCTGGTCTTCTTCTTTGGTCTCTCTTTCCAATCTCTCTCTAGTCCGTCTCTCTCTCTCCCTCTGGTCTCTCTCAGGTCTCGCTCTACTCTCTAGTCTCTCTCTAGTCTGTCTCTGGTTTCTCCCTCTCTGGTCTCTCTCTACTCTCGTTTCTCTCTGGTTTCTCTCCTCAGGTCTCTCTATACTCTCTAGTCCTTCTCTAGTCTCATTCTCTGACTCTCTTGTTTCTCTCAGGTGTCTCTACTCTCTAGACCCTCTCTGGTCTCTCTCCCTTTTCTCTCTCTGGTCTCTCTTCAGTCTCTCTCCCGGCTCTCTCTCTCTCTCTCTCTAGTCTGTGGTCTTTCTCTCTGGTCTGCTTTGGTCTCTCTCTCCAGTCTCTCTCTAGTCCTTCTCTCTCTAGTCTCCCTCTGGTCTCTCTCAGGTCTCTCTCTACTCTCTAGTCCCTCTCCGGTCTCTTTTTTCTTTCTCTCTGGTCCCTGTAGTCTTTGGTACAGAATAAGCAGGCGTGTCTCTCACACATTCAGTCTGGTCAGCATTCCTTACTTTGTTTTTTGTTGCCAGGATATGCCAGGTGATGGACTGCAGCTGGGTGGAATGGCTGTCTTAATCAGTGACACAGACACCAAGGTTCTTATTGAGGGCACGGAGGTCCTCAGTAACTTGCCCTCAACTGCAACTGCTGTGTTAAAGTTATTTGGACTGACATGTGTGCTAAACCTTCAATACCCAAAAGAAGTGAAGTTCACTTTTGAGTTTTTCCACAAGGTTTTAATGGATCTTGACCCTAGAAAGATGTCCCCAAAAATGTGTCGCTTCTGTACTCTGCTGCACAATAATGGTGCGTTCAGACCAAACGCGATTTCTGCGGCCAAAGCGGCGGGTCTACATTGACACAACATGGGGGACGCGCGCCAAGGAGCGGCGAGAGATCACGCGGCGCGATTCGCGCGGCCAGAGCGGCGCGAATTCGAGCATTTCGCGCGATTCGCGCGGCGTGTTTTGAGATGTCAAGCGTTTTGACGCGCGTTTCGCGCGATTCGTGCCTCCAACGCGGCCGCCGCTAGAGTTGAACAATGTTGAACTTTTTGGGAGAATTCGCGTGTGCCGACCAATCAGGAGCTTTCTCCTCCAGTGACGTAGTGACGCATTTCACTACCGGAAAAACACTGGTAGATGACAGCTATGGAGGACACGTCAATTGCTCAGGTCGGTGCTCATTCTGAGCTATATAACACTGCGGACATCAGCTACCGGGACCGAAATAAAAAGGAGCTTGCTTGGAGGAGGGTTAGCGAGGTGGTTGGTGTCTCGGGTAAGTTATTTTAACTTTTCAATGTTGTAAATATTTCCCCGCGAAAAAAACTACTACTTTCCTGCTTACGAGTTGATGTGTTTATTCAGTGGAAGTTTGCAAAAAGCGGTGGAAGAATCTGAGGGACACATATGAGGTGCTGAAGGTCGGTGTCATGCAGCAAACGGAGACCTCGAACAGTTGGAAAAAATACATTTCTTTCCTTTCTATTACCCACATTTTGCTGACTTTTACATTTATATTGCTTTCTGTGTATGCATTTCTTTTAATGCTTTCTTAACATCATGGCCAGGTGAAAATAGGCATTGGCTATTTTCAAACCAGGATAGATCTTGATCATGTGTTGTGTTAAATTTCACTTTTCCCTTTTATATGAACAAATCATTTAAATGTACATAATAATGTACATTATTATGTACATATAAATGTCATAAGCGCAATGTACACATGATATGAAATAATTGTATTTCTTGTTTTCTTCTGGCGCAGATACTGCCACCACCACACAAGGTGAGACATCTTGGCCTGAGCTGCCTGCTGCTGCTGCTGCTGCTGCTTCCTCAGCCGGTTCTTCTTCTGTGAGGGCTGGACCTTCCCCTGCTTCTGCACCTACAGGTGTGGCTTTTTTTAATCATTGTTTTATTTTTATTCTTATTACAGGACTGTTCATATAAACAAAATGTTACTGCATAATATGCCAAAATTACCCAAGGGCTGTTACATCAGTGTAGACGACAAATTTACAGAGAAACGACAAGATGTCAAGGCACTACAGGTGGAAAGAAGCTTTGGTCTGATACAACACATCTTCCCTCTTTCTTTGATAAAAACATACTACTGAAATACCTTATGCTATAAAAGTACTGAACAAATACATGCAATGGTTGCCACAAGATGGCAGCTATCCTGTTTAATGCAGACAATAGAGTATTACTTTTTTTACAGCCAATTTCAAATTTCATTGCGAAATACACTTCAGAGATATTAGTTTGTAACTGTCGAAATTTGTGCTTGTGTGAGTAATTTCATTGATAACTGCAATGTTCAAGTTAATTGTAACACACACACAACTTAAAAGTGTTTTACATGTGTTTAACTATGTCTACACACTCTGGCTTTAATACAGATATTATTTGCTCTCTTCATTTTGCTTTTTTGAAATACATGTTCCACTTTTTAACACTGTGATTGCCCTGTGTTCTTTGTTGGCGGCTCTACGGACGTGGGCCTCTTCCGAGCCCTCTTCCTTGGTGGGCCTTCAGAGTGGGAGCGGGAGCTGCTGGAGACTCTACGGACCAAAGCAGCCGGACCGCCCGACTACACAGAAGACCATCAGTTCCTGCTCTCTCTCGTTCCTCTCCTGCAAAGGGTGGCACCAGAGTCAAAAGAATTTGTGAAATTCAAAATGTACCAACTTTTATATGAAAGCAGCACCGTTCTGCTTAATTTGGAACCATTGGCCAGAACAGACAGTTTTTTGACCTAAGGTGACACCTTTTGCAGGGGAGGAAACAGACATGTGTCCCTTTCCTCTTCCACCGCACCTCCTCCAAGCAAGCTCCTTTTCATTTGTTTATATGTACATTTCATTTATTTTTCATTGTTTGTTCCTTTTTTATAAAGAAAATATTTTTCAAACCTCATGTGTTCTACTTCAAGCCAACCATTACTACCTTTCATATAATATTGACAGAAAATGCTATTCTATATTTGTACATTTACTTTTATAAGAGCTGACTGGGTTTTATAGAAGATGGAATAACAAACACTTAAAGAGCGATACAGTAGTTGACAGTATTTTTTATTCATTTCACCTTTTACTGTTTTAACAACCTTGTAATTACGTAAAAGCTTGAATGTGCATATGATTAACCTGAAGTTGGAGTGGAGTCGCAGTGGAGTCTGGCAGTCATTACCTAGAAACAGAAGGTATACAGGTGAATAGAATAGTGCAAATCAATATGGGTTTGGACTATGGCCAGATGTGGGTCAGTCTTGTGGTGGACATGACTACTCTGTGGGCTGCCACGGCAGTGCTCCCTCCTCACTGAAGTGGGCCATGAACACTTATGTCCACTGCTGGCTTCCAGGCGGCCATCCGCTGCACGCCTGGAAGTGGTTCTTCACCGGCAGCAGCTCCCCTCGGTGCAGGAACCTGCCCATCTCCAGCCATCCTCATGGCTGGAGATGGGCAGGGCGCATTAAATTGCAGCGCAGTGAAAAGGCCTCATCTGCCACGAACACATGGGGCTGGGGTCCTCTGTGGTCAGCTCCAGGTATGCACTGGTCAGGAGGCAGGTCGAGTGTGCCCTCGCGCAGAGCCTCACCAAAGGCAGAGTTGGACACGATGCCTCCATCGCTGGATCTGCCGTACCCTCCCACATCAATCACCCTGAACCTGTACTGGGCATCCACTACAGCCAGGAGCACAAGGGAATGGTGCCCCTTATAATTAAAAAACATGGACCCAGAGTTGGGGGGTGCCTTCACAGCCACATGCTTCCCATCAATGGCCCCACAGCACAGAGGGAAGTTCCATCGGACCTCCACTCCTCTGCTCCAGGCACAGCCATGAACTCCTCCACGAGGCAGTCCCAGATGGCTGCCACCACATCTGGGATGAGCATGGAGACGGTGGATATGCCCACTCTGAAGCTCCCCGCAATGGTCCTGTAGGAGTCCCCAGTGGCAAGAAACCTGCAATTACAAAATGATATGAACATATTTATCACAATTACATTCATAACAATCACGTGACAAAACTTGTGTAGCATAAAATACGTTAAACTAGTAGACAGTAAACATCATAGACAGTAATCATAGACACCAAATTGTTGCATAATACTGTTTTCTGAGCAATTACATTGTGGATTGTGATTGAAAAATGACACACTTTGTAAGTATTTTGGAATTCCGAATGGGGTAAAAAACACTAACCACAGACAGATGGACAGGCGCTCTTCAGCTGGAATAGAGCGCCTGTAGTTGGTGTCCTGGTAGGTGATCCTTGCGCCAATGCGGGTCAGTAGGTCGTCAAACTGGGCCAGGGAGAGACGAAAGTACCGCTGAAAGCGACCCTCATCCGAGCGCAGCTCCCGGAGCAAATGGTGAAACTCACCAAACTCCAACCGTCTACGGACTATCTGATGAATCCAGACACGTCGTCGATTCGCCCTTTGACGACGTGTCTGGCTTTATTTATCAGATAAAGCAACTCCTTCGCTGACATCCATTTTGGGAAGCTACAGGCAAAAGAGACAAGCCCCGCCCCTAAACGCTCTCAACGCTCTGTGACAGCGGCTGCCCTCTAGTGTCCTGGCCGCGCGGCCAACTTTCTCTGTGACAGCGGCTGCCACAATTTGTCACAAGCGGCTCAAGCCGCGCGATAGACGCGATTTGGCCGCAGAAATCGCGTTTGGTCTGAACGCACCATAAGCAGATATAGGTGCACTATAATAACTCTTTAGATAGACTGATCCAATCATACGTTTGTGTTTGTGTATATATAATACATATGTAACTCACCTTTCGCCCTCGTGGGTCGTTATCCCTCTCTCCTCTACCAGAGGCCTGGGAGCTTGATCTTTGCTGTTCCTAGCACTGCACATGTCTGGACCGAGATGTCCGAAGCTGTTCCAGGGACCCGCTGTAACCTCCTCCAGCTTCGGGGTCACTGCCCCGAGTGCACCGATCACCACGGGCACTACTGTCACCTTTTCCCTCCAGGCCCTCTCCAGCTCCTCTCTGTGCCCTTGGTATTTCTCAAGCTTCTCGTGTTCCTTTTTCCGGATGTTACAGCGGATCCCTGGAACAACCTCTTACATCTTGGTCCAGAAATGTGCAGTGCTAGGAAAGCAAAGATACTGAGCAGAACCCTCAAGCTCCAAGGCCTCTGGTAGAGGACCCGAGCTTAGAGAGGGATAACCGCCCGCGAAAGGTGCTCTGTGTGTGTATGTGTATATATATGTATGTATATGTATTTATGTATGTATATAAATATAATATATGTGTGTATGTATATAGATATGTGTGTGTATATTATTCATTTAATCACATTTTATTCTGCAGTAATTGCAGCTCTGTCTGCAATGAACTGATTTGGTGCCAATTATAAAAAACATGTTTGAGCAAAGAACTGTTGTAACAGAATGTACTGTTGAATGTTTTTCTAAGACAGAATTTACTGTTGAATGTTTTTCTTAGACAGAATTTAATGTTGAATGTTTGCCTTAAAATTTACAGTTTTTTTTATTTCTAAAAGAACGTGCTTTTAAAAAGTTGACGTGTGTAATCTTAACAGTGCATTCATACATTTAATAAATATTGAAAAGAATGTTTGGTCGGAGTGACTTCTTAAGGAAAAAATATTGAGAGTCTAAAATTACTAGATTATGCCAATTACTAAACCTTGCAATAAATACATATTTCACATTGTATAAAACTTAATTAAGATTTACTCTGTAAAACCTTTTTTTTTTACATTCAAGCCAATTTCTTTTTTCAATTTACACCAAGTTCAGAATAGAGTTTGTATGAAATGCATGCATTTTTCTTATTTGAGCCAATGTAAAATATTTATTTGTACCAAATTAAGAAATTGAAATTTAGATTGAACTGAATGGTTCCTGAACCTTAGGTCAATGTATAATCTTTATTGTGAATGGTTACTCTACTTTTTTTAAGTTGATCCAATGTTTCATTTTTTACAGTGTACCTGACACATTTTGACTATACTAAAACAAAGCTTCTGTTGATTGAAAGTGAAACATCAGTTTCAACCCAGTCCAGTCGTTACAATATTTAATTATAATTCAAATTGATTACTTTGAATCCTAGTAGCACAGATGTATGTTTTTATTTTGTTCATAAACCTTTTTCCACTCTGCAGGGTCTGCGAAACTTGAATCCAGTCCCCTACCACGCAACACATATGGGTCACAACGAAAAGTTAGTTATGTTTGGTGTGACGCATGTTATTGCTGTTGATGGATACAGCAGCAAAGGTGTTGCTCATGCAAAAATGCCTGTGAAAAATAATCTTGTCATATATGAAGATATCTGTAGGTTTGTAGCCAAGACTACATTTCCATTTCTTTCCATTTATTTATTCAAGCCATTTTACACATGCTTTTACTATTCAAGGTTAGCTGTCATTAAAGGAGCAATATGTAATATTTGCATGTCAAGTCATCATTAAATGACCCGAATATTTCAAAAGGCGTTATTAAATCATACTCTTTTCGAATTCATCTTTAACTGATAACAGTAGTTCAGCCGAGATATTTGATTATCAAAATTAGTTTTACGACCCGTAAAAGTTGTTATTGTTTTGATTTTGATGTCCTACCCTCCGCCGTTTCGCCAATCAGAAAGTGTCATGTAAGTCCGTGATCGGGTTGCCAGAACTCCGCGCGGCTCATTAATCTCAGTGGTAAAATAACATGTGGCGCAGAACTAAAAAAGGTCTTGTTATGACTCTCAAATCATTAATGACAAAACAAAGACTAAAACGAGGATTTATATCGGGATGCCTTTGAACAATTGAGACAGCTGATAAAAGTTCACGTGTGATGCAGAATTTTCTAGTTTGAGTCCGTTCTTTACAGCATCTCTATTCGTGTGAATCGGTGGCCTAGCGGTCTAAACTGTGCGCTTACGATGCAGGAACCCGGGTTCAATTCCGGGCTATGTCTTTTTGTATTTATTGCATGTTATCACATTCTATGACAGATTGCTCTAAAAACGGTAAAAGATGAAGTTCAAGACGTTTTTTTGCAGATTATAGCTTAATTGTAAAAATAATCATTTAAGACCACATGTACCCCAATTAAAATAATGTTAGTCTCTTTTTGATGTGGAACTTTTACATGTTTGTCTAAAAAATAGGAAATAAATAAAATTGAAAGGTGATATCCTCTTGAGCAAACCCTGATGTTGATACGCTGAAGAAATACGTTCCAACATCCATTCTTCCCACTCCTATTTTGGACATCAATTGCTTATTTATTTTGCATAAACTATGGATAATTACATTACTTTTATTTTGTTTTTGTTTTTTTATCTCAAATGTCCAAATAATAATAATAAAAAAACATTAATCAAAACATTCATTCAGCATTAGCACAGCTGTCATGGCAATGTGAATGGAGACGGACAAACAACTGATAAAATAATTCCCTGTGTTTGCTGCTGTATTTGGTGTGAATCTGGCAACCTGAGTCAGGGAGAGTGGGAGAGGACTACAAAATATTGACTGTGACTGCAGTACCACTTTTGGCCAGATTTTTACATATTGTTCCTTTAAGTATGGAATGTGGGACCAGATACGAGTTGATCATGACCCTTTTCATGCAAGAAATGCTTGCAACCCACAGACACAATCAGAACAGACCACCTTACTGCCAAACCACATCAACAAAGGTAGGAAGATAATAGTCTAAGGCCCCGTCCCAATTCTCGCCCTTGCCCTTAAAAAGCACACTTGCCCTAGCGTTTGCGCGTGCCCGCGCGAGTGCAAGGGTGTCCCAATACTTAGGGAGACGAGGCGAGGGTCTTCACTGCCCTAAAAACCACCCTTGAGCGCAAGTGAGGTCGGGAGCTCACTTGCGAGCGAGGGTGATCCCATGATGCATTGCGAACTCGGCAAACCAGTTTTTCCAAATGAACATGGCGCCGACTCTCGGGAGCGAAAGCTACAAATGTAAGTACAATTTCACACAAACATGCACTCTAAAAGCTATGAAACGTGTCAGAATTATGTGGGTACGCAATTTGTTCTACAATGTAGAATGCCGGTGTTGGCTCGCTGTTTCGTACGTGTGCATGTGCATGGCATGGTGTGCATTGAATTCATAAACATAGGTAAGCGTTTGTCTTCACCATTAACGTTGGTTGTGTGTTTGCAAATCTGCGCAAACAGCTTGCAGTAGTAGTGGAACTGAACAATTGACCAACGCTGTTTTTCCCCCAGGGACCACGGAGAAAACCTTTGCTCTCATAAATTACAGAGCTGCGAATGAAGCCAATTTTCTGAAAACAAAATTTCAGACAAAAAGTCTGTGGCAGTAAGTGAAACTTCTATTCTTAATAATAATGCTATTGAACACAGCTAAATGCCTATACCTCACTGTATGTTCACAGGCAAGCAGTGAAAGAGCTGGGCCTGGAGGGGAAAGTGACCCACAAGCAGGTCAGTAAGAAGTGGGAGAACCTGAAGAAGCGCTACAAGGTAATTATCTGCAAATATATCTGTCTGGTTAATCCTGTAACCTCAACTCACTTTGCTGTGTGTGTGTGTAGGACCTAAGGGACCCAAAGACTGGCTCAGGCACAGATAGCGGGGAGAAGACCGCTTCAAACTGGCCGTATTACGCTGCGCTTCACGCAGTCTTGGGGGGAAGGCCTGCTGTGGATCCCCCTGTTGTTGTGGCGTCTTTCAGGCCAGCTGAAGACCCTACAGCTTTGCTAATGGTAAGAAACAAGGGAATATTTTTATAGGGGCGGTGTACAATAAACATTAACCCAAAGGAAAGATGCATTGAACCACTAGTCCCTGAGCAGGTTGTTGTCAAACAGTAAAATGTAAGTAATTGGAGGAATTATCAGACCAAAATTTCTATTTCATTTACCACAAGTTAAATAAAAAACACTGGCCAGCCCCATTATTCACTTATTATAAAGACATTTCTGCACTGAATTCACACAGACACGTCACACATGGAAACAGAGTTGCCTTTCCAATAGACATGTTTTTGTACTGCATGTGAATACTTTTAGTTCAGTGCAGGTGATGATCTCAGTTGGGAGTGAGTCCAGAACATTTTGGGACGCTGCACTCTCCACGTGCTGTAGACCGAGTGGCATGTGTACTTTGTGATGTGTACACACTGCTATGTCAGTGCTTGTAGCCGTGCAGTTAATAACTTTATTTGCCATGACGTGACAATAATTTGTCTCCAACAGGCCATTGTCAATCCTGACGAGACCCCCAGTGAGGATACTCAGTTGGGCTCTGCCTCTTCTGCACCATCGACCCGGTCTGCTTCTCCAGCTCCATCCTCAAACAATCCTCCCTCTTCACCAACCCCGTCCTCTTCATCCTCTCGCCATAACACCCCTACCCCCAGAAAAAGGAAGAGGACAGATAGCCAGAGGATTTTGGACTTTCTCCAAGCAGAGTCGGACAAGGAACAGAGAAGACACGAGGAGTCAGAGGAGAAGACTTTGCGCTTTTTAAGTCTCTTCGAGAGGATGGTGGAAAAGCTGTAGCCTGCTGCTGTGTGGCTGTTTGGGCAAACATGTCTGTTCATATTGTACATATGACATTTTATTAGAGTGTTTTTCAAAAAATAAATCTCAGTTAATGTGACTGTGTGTGTGTTGATGTTCACTGTTCTAGGAAGAAATACTGAAACTTAAAGTTAGGATCTTGGGAAAGGATATAAAGAAAAGGTCATCCATTGTTCGTTAAATCATTTTATTGAAAGAATTTACTTTACATTTAAGGGTCTTCGTTGAACAATACAGCGAGCCTGTCCCTTATTGCAGTCCCTGCCCTTTCATATTCCTCAGCAGCTTCATGGAGAGGAAGTTCCGGGTCCAGGATGTCTGTTGCATCACTATCAGGTTCCAGGACGTCTCCGTTGTCTAGACATACATTGTGCAGAAAGGCACACGATGCTATAACCTGTGGTGCAAATGTAGGCTTGACCTCCAGGGCTCTGAACAGGGTTGACCTCCAGCGAGTCTTCATAATCCCAAATGCTCTCTCCACAATAGAACGGGCTCTTGACAGATGGTAGTTGAATTTCCTTTGGGCCCGGCCGTTCACTGGCTCTCGGTATGGAGTAATAAGGGCGATTGGTCCCTCCAAACAAGGATACCCACCATCTCCCAGAATGAAGTACCCCGTAGGTGGGTACCTTCTTGCAAGGTAAAACGAGCTGTTCTTCAGAATGCGCGTGTCATGCACAGAACCTGGATAGCCCACAAAAATGTCTAGGAATTTTCCTGTGTGATCACAAATAGCTTGCATTTGTATTGAGTAGAAACCCTTGTAATTTAGATAGTCCAGACGATGGAGTGATGGGGGCTTTATGCGAACATGACAACCATCAATGGCTCCAACAGCTTTGTTTAGTAGAGGTGTTCCAGCAAGCTCGGCAAAGCCGTTACTCACTGCATCAATGTCAGCCATCTTTGGAAAACTGATTGCTCGGTGTAGATTGTTCCAAATGAACTGTGCTACCCTATGGACAACCCTGTGGACAGTAGACCTAGGAATACTGAACACTCTGGACACAACACGGTAGGATAGTCCATGGGCAAGCCAGTATACATATATGAGGACCTCATATTCATTGCCCCAACCATGATCTTGCGCTCTCCTCATTACACGTTGCAGCGAATGCATGGTCTGCCTGGACAGTCTGAAGTCAGGTTTTGTGTCCAATTCGACGTCCAACCACAAGCGTAGAATAGGCACAACCACATTGACTTTACAGTACGTTGCTGGACGGTCACTCTGAAAAACAAAGAGCAAAAAAATATATAGCATGAGTGATGGCCTAAGAGCACAAATTCCCCTCATGAAAGCAGGGATGTGACATTAACAATACAAACTATACATGCAAAGGCATTACAGTACTTCATATAATATTTTCCGCAATATAAATAGTTCTCAATATACTACTGTGACTCAAGATTTCAGCGAAAGGAAAGTAGAACCAGTGTAGCCAATGCTGCACCGCTTTGTTTTTGCGTTTGTGATACACGTGTTTAGTACATACTTAAAACAGCGATGAATACTTCATGGTTAGACGTTTGGACATATGGATGTAACTTTTGATCTTTGTATCGTTTGTAGGTCGTCTTGTTTTAGACACAGTTTTGGTACGATAGTTAGTAATGTTGCAGCCATAGACTGTATATATATGCAGTCGGGCAAAGCCGCGCCATTATGAAAGAAAACAACATACCTGAAACATCCGGGCAAGCGCGCAACCATACGTCGAAGTCTCATCCTACGTCTGTTGCTTCTCCGTGTACTTTGCGAACGGAGAAAAAGCATCATAGCCCACAAAACAGGCAGAAGCTCCGCTGGACCCGGCATTTTCAAAAGTAACAACAACAGCAGTACTTCTCCGGTCTTACCTACCCTATGAAGAAATATGTATTACCGCCACCTATTGGACTGGGGTGAAATCCGAAAAACTGACATTGCGTGTGACGTAGTGGACGCTCATTTGCATACAAGGGTGTCCCAATACTTAGGGAGAGTTGAGTGCACCCTCCACTTGCACTCGCACTTGCACTCACACTTGCACTCGCACTTAAGGGCAAAGGGCAAGGGGGAGAATTGGGACGGGGCCTTTGGCTGTATTCACAAGTGGCAGCCAAAAATGATCCGGACAATTGTTACCTGCAGAATTATTCTGACACATGCTGTATACTGACTAAACTACACCCTGTATGTAAAGCAATTCTGATAAGTTAAGTGTTTATAGGCATATTTAATCAAGGCTATGTGTCAGAATCAGAATCAGGATCATTTTTATTGCCACGTAATTAACAGGAGGTCACAGACTAGGAAATGGCTTTGGCTCAGTGCAACAGTCAAAAAGAGATAATAAAAATAAGAATAAAAAACACTTCTAAAGAATAAATTTAAATTTAAAATAGAGTTACAGTTACTATTTACAATATACAAGGGCACATGGTGCACACAATGTAAGGTGACAGCAGTACAGTGAAGTAAAGTGACGTATGATGGGCAGTAAAGTGACTTTATAAATGGCGGGGGGACAGGTTAAGAAGTGTTCAAGAGTCCAACAGCAGAGAGGAAGAAACTGTTCTTGTGGCGGGAGGTTCTAGTCCTGATGGACCGCAGTCTCCTGCCTGAGGGGAGTGGTTGGAATAGTCCATGTGCAGGGTGAGAGGGGTCGGCTGTGATACGACCAGCCCGGCCTCGAGCTCGGGCGACGTACAGGTCCTGCAGCGATGGAAGGCTGCGGCCGATCACTTCCTCTGCAGAGCGCACAATGCGCTGTAGTCTCTGTTTGTCCCTGACTGTGGCTCCAGCGAACCACACGGTGACGGAGGAGGTGAGGATGGACTCGATGATGGCCGTGTAGAACTGCACCAACATCTGTGCAGGCAGCTTGGCTTTCCTGAGCTGCCGCAGGAAGTACATCCTCTGCTGGGCCTTCTTGATGAGGGAGCTGATGGCCGGCTCCCACTTGAGGTCCTGGGTGATGGTGGTGCCCAGGAAACGATAGGACTCCACAGAGGTGATGTAATGTAATATTCCAGCATAAACAAAATCAGAAATTAATACAAGTTGATCGGTGCTGAGACTCCACAAAGGAGCGGTACTGGGTCTCTCCACAGAGCGGGAGCCGGACTCCAGGGGACTGGCTTCTTTCTCCACTGCTGTGTGGCTAAACGATAGCCTGACCCAGTCACCACAAGCGGCCTCGTCGATTGACTTTTCCCCTAGAGCTTAAAGACCTTATGCAGGGTTTTTTTTTTTTTAAATGTGGATATCAAAATTGCATGACAGTTAATCAATTAATGTCGATCTGAACTAGATTACGGCAAAAAAAATCCTTTATTTTATAATAATTATGATTTTTCCTTCATATCCGGAAGTGTAACGTCATAGCGGGTGACGCCCACGTATATCCGCCACATTGAAATGGACTATGTACAGAAACCTACCCCTATAACATGATTTATACACACACACACAGCCCCCTTGAACCTTTCAACATTTCGCCACATTTCAGGCTTCAAACATAAAGATATAAAATGTAAATTTTTTGTCATGAATCAACAAGTGGGACACAATCGTGAAGAACAAAATGTATTGGATAATTACAACTTTTTTAACAAATAAAAAACTGAAAAGTGGGGCGTGCAATATTATTCGGCCCCTTTACTTTCAGTGCGGCAAACTCGCTCCAGAAGTTCAGTGAGGATCTTTGAATGATCCAATGTTGTCCTAAATGACTGATGGTGATAAATAGAATGCACCTGTGTGTAATCAAGTCTCCGTATAAATGCACCTGCTCTTTGATAGTCTCAGGATTCTGTTTAAAGCTCAGAGAGAACCATGAAGACAAAGGAACACACCAGTAGCGGGGAGGTTAACAGCAGAGGGGAATAAACTGTTCTTGTGGCGGGAGGTTATAAAAATTACTGATCTATTTATTTTTATTTTTTTAAGGAAATGAATGCTCAGACAACTTGTGGATGGGAAATTGTGCTTGCAGAGTGATGCAGTTGAAGTACCGCACGACTGCTCCAGTTACCTCATTTACTCCACAATAAGCGATATGATATTGACCCCTTGCATGTGACGTCCCGGCCACGCCCACTCTCCATGACAGACGGCAGAAGTCTAACTGCGAGCCTACGGACACCTGACCAAAACAACCTGTTTCAGCGCATTACAGCCAAAACTGTGACATTTTGCAGTGCGGTTGATTATACTAACAGGCAAGGACATAAGCTTTTTTATCTGATACCTGCTCGTCATGAAGACAGAAGACGACGATGGCCAGCGGCAATCAACCAAAAGGACTGGGACCCATTAAAGGCGCTATACCCGTTTCTGCAATGTTTGAATGTTTAGCACCGCCCCCCAACTCGCTCAATGGCTTCTCATTTCCCCTACGCTCTCATAACACAGAGCCACCTAGTTTTATTTGCGATCTGATACATATGCTAACATTAGCATTAGCGCAACTTCTTGTAAGCTGTGCAACAATCACTGATGAAATGGCACTAAAGCAACGCACTGCTAACACGATATAAAAGTAAAAGAATACCGCTAGTTATGCGTCCGAATGTATTAGAATATATTCTTAGAATATATTCTAATATTTAATTATAATTTGTTATACAGCTCCTCAAAGCAGCAGCAGAACACTCCATTGACTTGAATGCAATTCTTCCGATCATTTTTTCTTGATAACAGAAGTCTCAAACCAATAATGACCGAAGCCCCAATGCAATCTTTGTTTGTGATTCAGCTGTGTAAAATACTGCCATTACTCTGCAAGTACAAAACGCTATCAGCGCCTGTCACTACACACTTGTCTGTGTAGAGAAGCTAGCAGAGCTAGCGGAGCTAGCCACACTCAATAAACAACTACATATCTATCAATCAACACCATTAAACGTCAATCGGACAATACAGTACACATATACATCCTTAACACACATGCACGGATGATTTCAGAATTTGCTGTCAACGTTTTCATGAC